CATCTATTCTGCCTATCATTTCCGATTCTTATATTTTTGTTTGTGTGTGGTTGTATCAAAAATAAGGGTTAGCATTGTAGAATCCATTTCCAACACATGTAGATTTTCTCGATTTCTTCAATTTTCTTATCTTTATGTGCTAATAGAAGTGTATATGTATTTTTATTCTTAATATTCTCCCCTATCTTTGTAACACCACTGGCCAAATACAGGAATGAATTTCAGTAAAAAATTCTATGACAGTCGGCCCAGCATTTCGGTTAGACCGACTGTAATTATATTTTTCAAACTTCTTTATTGTTTCTTCTTTATTGTTTTTTTTTTTATTCATATTCTTCCTTATCTTTCTGATTTCTTCCATTTTCTTATTATTTTCATTACATTTTCTATTGCAATTTCTTCTGTCTTCTCTTTTGTGTCATCACTATTATTTCCTACAATAGTAATCAATTCGCTTGTTCTTTATGTTCCTTTTCTTTTATAACTGTATTGTCTAAATTTTGTTCATTCATATCATCTTGTTTCCTTGCTCTCCTTATGTTTTTCCTCCATTGATATTATCTCTAACGTAACATTAAAATTTTCCAGTAAGAACTGTCAAAATGTACAACAAATATATACAAAAAGGGATTTCTTGCATACGTAAAAAATCAACTCATTTAACTACAACAATTTTAATAATTTTATAAGAATGTACCGTAACCACAACCGAAAACAGTTCCCATCGCGACGCCTATGTTCCTAAAAAAATAAACTTTCTGAATCTGAATGACAATTTGCACGTTCCGAAACGATATCCGTCTACAATATTTTTACAAAGCGAAGCATCGCTGGCTGTCTACCAATCGGGCTAAATCCTTAGATATGCTAAACCAGTAACGACGGCCGGGCAATTTTAACATGTACCGAGTGTTGTAGTGGCTTGTGACCAAGACCAAGTGTGCTAGTGACCGAAAAAAGTGTAGGATGCGCTCAAAATAACAACGATAACGCTAACAAGGCTTTTTTACCCCCTTGGAATCCCCCATATCAGTGCGGGCGGTGTTTCTGATTGTGTTTATAGTTGTAAAACGCGCAATTTCAAATTTTCAATTTTAATGAAATAACTGCTATATATAGAACTATTATTTTCGTTTTGTTTGTTTTGTAGAACTCAAGGTTGGGGCTTCGTTTATTATTCGGTATTTTTGTGAATTTTTGCGGGATTTTATTATTATTGAGTAATGTAAAACTGAATAAACATACGTAGGTATAATTATTTTCAGTTATGATTGACTGATTTCGCATAATGATACTTTTTTAAATGTCAAAATTAAAATTATTTTACGAAATAAAAATTAGGTAATTAGATAAATACAATTGGTTAAAATTAATAAACAATAAAAATATAATAATTATTTTGCAATTTCTTCAAAAAAATTAAAATGAACAAAAATATAAACAGTGTTTACAAATTTAAAAAAGAAGCTTTAATAAAAAAAAGAACCATACAAATGTGTAGTCTTTTATCAAGAATTAGTACTTAAGTTTGATTAATAGAAACGATAAGATACTTACTAATTATTTCGTAGATCTTATTTAATAAAATTTAAAAGTACCTACATAGGTACCCACAGGTATAAGATGCCGATGTATGTTAACTGGAATTTCCTGTAATCTTTCTTTATAATTGTAACTGATACAAATCCGATTTGTTTCGTATTTAAAGATTAGGTACATTCTAATCAATTAGAATGTAATCTAGTTATATAACGTTTTCCATTCATCTCTATTGTCTATTCTCCTATTTAAGAAATCAGTAAACCAAAAAATAAAAATAAAATATATGAGATTAATTCATAATAACCTAAAGGATTTTTAAATGCTCCTACTTCAGGGATAATATTTCATCATCAATAACTAGTAGACCTGTTTCAGGGATAGTATTCCCACAGCAGGTATATTATTTATATAATGCAGGGATTCAGTGATTGTATTCCTACTTCAGAAATAGTATTCTTACTTTAGTGATAGAATTCCCAGAGAAAGTAGTTCTCTTCAGGGATATAATTCCTATTTTTGGGATAATTTCCCCACAACATGGCTTGTAATTCCATATTTTCACTTTAGAAATAGTATTCATACTATCCACATCAAAGATAGTATTCAATCATCAGCATTAGTATTCCCCTATATAGATATAAATCCTACTTCAGGGATAGTATTCCCACATTTATAGTGTTCCCATACTTCACGGATTGTATTTCCACTTTGAAAATAGTATTCCTAATTCAGTGTATTCCCACATCAAAGGCAACATTCAATCTTAAGTAATAGTATTCCTCTTTAGGGATATAATTCCTACTTCAGGGATTGTATTTCCACTTTAGAAATAGTACTCATACTTCACTGATAGTATGTCAACATGAAATACAGTATTCAATCATCAGTAATAGTTATTCGTCTTTAGAGATATAATTCCTACTTCAGGGGCAGTATTCCCACAACATTTACAGAATTTACATGCTTCAGGGATTGTATTACCACTTCAGGAATAGTATTTCTACTTCAGCGATAGTATTCCTACATCAAAGATAGTATTCAATCATTAGTAATAGTATTCCTCTTCAGAGGTAATATTCCCACAACATGTATAGTATTCTCCTACTTTAGGGATTGTATTCCATCTTCAGAGATATTTACCTACTTCAAGGATGATATTTCCACAATCATCAGTGATATTATTCTTCTTCAGGGATATAATTCCTACTTTAGTGATAGTATTATAGTATTCCCACAATATGAATAGTATTCTCATACTTTAAAAATTGTATACCTTCTTCACTAATAGTATTATTACTTCTGGGATACTGTTCTTACTTCAGGGACCTTATTGCTGCTTCATATTTAATTTTAAAATGTGAAACATTCGCCTGTAAATTACGGACTAATTATTCAAATGATGAGCTAAAAAAAATTAATTAAAAACTGCTTTTTAAAAAAATAATTTTCAGGAATCATCAGCAAATAAATTCCTTGTATTTTAAAATAAATAAACAAATTAATTAAGATCACTTTTAGGAAAATAAGTATTAAATAATAATTCATATTTAATGCGTAAACTAAAAACATAGGTATTTTATTCCAAATTTATGGTATCATAAAAAATTTAATACTCCGATTTACCTTGAAATTTTGTGCTGATAATTAAATCATTGGCGTATCAATAAGTTATATTTTTATTATTTTGAAATTTTTATTATAAAAAAAATGAAAAATAATAGGTTGATATAAAATTTTATGAAAAAATATTTGAATTTTCAATTTCTATGATATTTTTCCAGTTGTTTTCTTTGATTAATTAATATTTTGTTTTGTGTATGAATTAAATATCTCTTATAGGCCTTTGTCAACAAATGTATATCTCCCTTTTTAAATTAGTGTTTAATTTTTTTTACAAGTTTTTATCGAAAATAATAAGAACGACATTGAAAATTTATTTCTGTCGATAGACTGACTATATCTGTCAAATTTGACAGTTAAAAAAATTACAATTAGGTTATTTCTAAAGATTTCAAATAATGTTATATAAAAAAGTTATTTTTTGTCAGTTTTTTATATAATTATTAGGGTGTGTTATTTTTGAGCAACTTTTTTTTTTCAACTAAAAAACAAGCCAAAAACTTTCAGGAAGGTTAAAAAAGAAGCCTCTAAAAATGTAAGCTCTTAATATTAACAGTAAGTGGTGCCTATTCCTAACTTTCCATTTTCCATTTAAATAACATGGAAAGAAGAAATTTCTTTTTTCTTATTTTTATAGCTTGATATTTTAGCATCGTAAAAATGAACTGAAAACTTATTTTGGTAGGAAATTGAACGCTCTAAAAGAGTTCTAATTAATTTTTTCATAGAGTGAGCCGTTCTGAAGATATTTAAACTTAAAGTTGCAAATGAATGAAATTATGACTTTTATTGTATTAAACTCATACTGATGACTTTTTTAAGTCTTAAAAATTATTTTCAAGAAAAAATTCGTATAGAAAGAAAATAACACTTACATGTCAATATTTTTTTGCATTTTATTTGGTTTACTATCAAAAAAAGTTATTTGTGTTCAATAAATTTGTTCAATTATAGATTAAATAAATCGATTAATTTTTATTGTGTTGAATTTTTAATCTTTCTTTATTTTTTTATAATTTTACCTGAACTATTTTATTTTTTATTTTTACAATGCTCAAATGTCATGCTACCAAAATAAGAAAAAAGAAAAAAAAATTCCATGTTATTTAAATGGAAAATGGAAAGTTAGGAACAGGCACCACTAAATGTTAATATTAAGTGCTCAAATTTTTAGAGGCTTCTTTTTTCACCTTTCTGATAGTTTTTAGCCTGTTTTTTAGTTGAAGAAACAAGTTGCTCAAAAATGACACACCCTAAATAACTATCAAATTTGAACGAATTTGGACAACTTTGGATTTTCTTTTCCTACCCTAACAATATTTTGGCTTATTATAATTTCTAAAGGACCAGTTAATAATAATATACTCATCTTCTGAAATTTTGAGAAATAACCTAAATTACTGTATTTTCTGAAAATGTGTCAAATTTGACAGGTATAGCCAATTGATAGAAAAAATCGTCAGTCTTTTTTTTAACCAAATCTATTCTTAACCTCCAAATTTGCGTAAACTATTAAAAAAATATATACATCTGCTTTAATGATGACACTATAGATACAAAATAAATTTTGACGGAAAAATAACAATCACTTTTAATTCTCTAAAATCATAAATAAAAATTTCAACCATATTTACTTGCACCATATTTATAAGAACTAAAAAAAACAAACAAAACTTCAAAGCAATCCAAATTCGAGTGCGTATCATTTTCAAAATAAATAAACCGAAAAATACCAGACAGAAACACCCTCCGTACATATCAAACCACAATTTCTTATCGCTGTTTACCTACAACAATCCAAACATCCTCTTTTACGAACTTGAAATTAATCCATATAGGCACATGTAGCGACGCACCTGGCCCACAACTCTTAGAAGATAAACACATTTCGATAATAGATAATATGAACGATAGTAAAAGCAGTTCAAGGTCCAAAAAACGCAGACAACGTCGAAAGAATCGCAAAGTAGAATCAAATTCTAATGATGTCAGTACTCGAGATAACACAGAAACCGACAAAGCATTACCAGATGAATATACCGTTCAATCCCCCATAGAGCTTACTAAAGAAAGTACCAATAAAAAACCGAATAAACCAGTAAAAAGCAGAAGCTTAGATGATGACGAAATGTTCAAAATACAAGAAGTATCCGAAAATACAGAAACAGAAGATAAAGACAAAGAAACACAGGCTATAATATCAGAAGCATCAGAAAGCGAAGTAGACTGGGAAGAAACTGAAGCTCTAGACACCCCTCAACCTATTCACGGCTCTTTAAGCACTCTAACTCTCCCGCTAGAGGGCTGCATCACCGAACAAGTCACCCTAATGTCTCCAGAAGAAGAAAAAAACCTAAGAGACTTCCTGGTGGGTTTAAACCTAGTCAACGGTCCCGAAGAAGCAGCCAGTCAAGTCTTAGACAAATCGGAATCATTAAAAGATAAAAAAGCCAAGAAAAAAGTCGAGTTGGAAAAGTATTTCTTCCCGTTATACCAAAATCCTAGATATCTAGACGTAATCAGCGAGGAATCTAGGGAATCCAGCGATCGTGATAGTGACAGAGAATCTAAAACCTCTCTAACTCGCGTTCTACGCAAAGGCACTCCAGAAACTCCAAATACACCTCCGAAAGTACCTCCAAGGCCCAACAGAAGAAAAATCCTTCATAAATCCGCTCCTCCGATAGACCAACCTCAAGCCATCTTAGTAGACACCAAATTAATCGAACCAATTCAACCGATTTGCAGCTCGATATCAGCCACACCTTCTAATGTCGAAATAGTATATTTAACTTCATCCGAAACCGATTCTGGTGAAGAAATGGAAAGCAACAGTAGTGATAGTTACGCTATACCCTCAGAAAAGGATAGCAGCAATGAAGATTTGAGTGAGGAAACGTTAATAAAGACTGATGATGAAACTGTAAATGTAAGTAATGCTCAAGAATCGACTGATATTCACAAATTTGATAAACTCACTAACAACTGTTCCGAAGAAATTATTAAACCAAACGAAACTGAGAAAACTACGTTTTCAAGCACCACTAGTTTTTCTGTTAAAAGGAGTAAAAGTTTTACAGATAAAGAGGATCTAGACATGCTAAATCAGCTATTAACCCCACCTTCTACACCTGATAACTCTTCTCCCAATGATACGAAAGATTCTATTACTGCAGATCTTGATTCTTCAATAAACATAGAACCAGAAATATATACTAATGTGTTGACACCTCCACCACCATCAAGATCGCCATCTAGCAGCAGAAGCTCAAGCAGAAGTTCCTCCCTTTGTACAGCCAAATACAACCCATCGGTATCCTCAATAACGGACGTAATAGCTTTAATCAAAGAACCAGAAGAAGGCAAGTACTTCCAGGCTTTAACCCTTCGAGAAATCTGTCTGCAATTCCTACTAGCATTGCCTTTCGGTAAAGATATTTTAGAAGAGCTAGCCGACGTTTCAAAGTACATAGAATCCTATACTAGATCCCTTCCTAGTACTGTTTTACCCAAACTAGTTCCTAACATAGCTCAATTTGTCAATACATCGCACACACAATCTAATAATATTTCTTATGACATTTCAGTCAAGTTGCCAATCAAAAAACATCAAGAGGATATTACGTGCGTTAAAGTTATTCCAAAAGATGTTTTATCTGCAGATGGAATTAGTATTATGGAACATAGAATACCAGTAGAAGTAGAATCTGAAAATATTCTAAAAGGAGTGGTGGAGTTGCCTAAAATACTTGATTCAAAAATTGAAGAAAAGTGTCAAAATAACTTATTAGAAGAATTTAATATTCCAATAAAAATAGAAGCAGGAATAGGGCCAATAAATGTAACAACTGGCCAGGAGAAGGAAATTAAAATTCCAATTGTGATAGAAGAGAAAATAAATGATATTAAAATAGAAAATAAATCAAAAGAAGTTATTATATCTGTAAAGAAAGAATCTTTGAACCAAAGGCATAAAGAATACGTAATACCAATCAAGCAAGACATAAAAACAGAAGATAAAATTGTAGAAGCAACGCAATCAGCAAGAATAATTGATGCGAACGGGAAAGAAGTTATAATTCCTATAAGAAGAGATTCTTTAAACGCTAAAACCAAAGAGTACATAATACCGATTAACAAAGAAGTAAAACCAAATGAAAAAACTGTAGTAGCAAATAAACTTTCTTCAAGAATCAGTGGTGAAGAAGAAAAACAGGTGGTAGTTCCAATAAGAAAAGAATCTTTAGATACCAAAATAAAGGAGTACATTAAGAAAGAAATAAGAGCAACTGAAGAAACTGTTTTAATAAATAAAAGTTGTACCAAAGTCAATGATGAAAAGAGAAAAGAAGTAATAATCCCTGTAAGAAAAGAATCTTTAAATACTAAACCAGAAGAACACATAATAACAATTACGAAAGATAAAAAATCAAATGAACAAACGGTAGAAACAATAAAAAATTCTAAGGAAATTGTAGATGAAAGAAAAGAAGTAATAATCCCTATCAGAAAAGAATTCTTAAACATTAAACCAATTACTAAAGAAGTAAAATTAAATGAGCAATCTGCAGAAACAACGAAAAATTCTACAAAAATTAAAAATAAAGGAAAAGAAATTATAATTCCTATCAGAAAAGAATCTTTAAACATCAAACCAAACGAATACATAATATCTATTAAACAAGATTATACAGATAGTGATAACAAAGATAAATATGAAAATGAAATTGGGACAAAAGAAAATGATCATAAATGTGTATCCAAAGAAGTTGAAGTAAATAGTGCAAGTATAACGCAATCAATAGAAAAATTGACTCCTAAAAAAGTAATTGAAGGATTAACAGGTGTTGATTCAAATACAATGAAACTTCGAGAAGTAAATATACCGATAACAAGAGAATGGAGTGGATTGCCTACAGAAAGAGATCCAAAGTTGCTGCTATGCTTATCACCGAAGCAAAAAGACGAATTGGAGAAAACTAAACAAGTTTCTGATGAAGCAGCCAAACTAATAGATCTTCACGCGAAATTTATCAACAGAAAGATTTCACATGAAGAAATTAAAAAGGAAATGGAAGATAACGTTACTGTTATTAATTGTAATCAACAGCCTTGTAACAGATTGTTAACGATTATTAAAGAAGAGCCTACAAATGCGAGTGAAGATAAAAACTACTTATATTTCGTCGAAAAGGAATCAAGAAAATTCGAAAAAAATTTCACTCTCCCTCGTATAACAGATAACGCCCGCCTACACGCCAAAGATCTGTCAGAATGGCTTCACTTAGCGCGAAATAAGAGTATGAGCGAAAGCAACCTGGCCACTACCGATGATATTCCCGAAAATAACTTAAGAAACAACTTCAATATCCAACACGCCTCGCCTTTGAGACGCACTTCTCTGCCGCACGATATTTTCGAAAAACAAATGATTTGCATACAGGAAAAAGAGCGGGAGATTCAACGGCAATTGGAGGCCTTGGAAGAGGAGAAGCGTTTGTTGAATGCTGAAATGGCACCTTCGAAAGAATTCCAAGTCGAAGATTATTACTATTCACGTAAAGGAGATTTTGCTGAATCGAAGAAACGACCTACTTCCATGCCTATGATGCCTACTGAGTACTTTAGGCAACAAATGTACGAAGAATACCTGGATAAATTCGCTGAGCGAGAGGAACGCAAGCAACACAAGATAATCAAAGTCACTTCGTCGAAGGATTTAAATCAGGAGAGCGCGTCGGTCGATAAGAAAGAGGTTATCCATCCCATACAGCTAGAGGACGAATTTATGGATAAAGTAAAGGAGCTTCAAGACGTCGGGAAGCTGGAGAAGGTGGTGAAAAGTGTAGAGAAAGAGATTGTTGGCGGTAATGCAGATGTTGACGTCCCACCGGTGCTGGTAATGGATGGCGAACAACTCAAAGTGGTGAAGGAACTTCCGAAACACCTACAAGAATTCGTTGACGACGAGGGTGAGTGTAAATGTGATTTTGACGTTTAAATAACATTTTTGTCTCGTTTATATCTACTAATAATAAATATTTATACAATAAATGATTGGCGTTTGTTTTTTATCGCTAATTGCATTAATTTTTCAGTACTTATGTGTTGTAGATTGTTTTTTTTTATCTAACATTGACGTAATATGCTAGTTCTGCACGGTTTTTGAGTTGGCGCTAAAATTAGACTTTTAAAATTAGGTTAATAGTTACTCGACTCGACGAGATGTTTGTTGGTCTGAGGAAATTCGATTATGCAATACAAATGGGTTTTTTTGAGTGGGCGTTAGTGTTACTTGTATGAATTACGAATTACTTAAATATACTCTTGCTTGAATTAAAAATATCTGTACCAAAGGGTAATAATGCAAATGAATGAAGATTGTGGGTTCGACAATGTGGAATTCTCCTACTTTTACATGAAGACGTATATATTTTAATATATTTTATCACCCTGCAGCAACCAGAATATATTCTGATGATTAATTTTAAATTTTTTGCTTTTATTAACACAGGTGATAGTAGAGGAACATTTAGCTGTACTAAAAAAGGCTGCAAATATGCTAGAAGGGTAAATAGGGTTTTAACTAAAAATAGGGGGAACACTAGGACTAGCTTATTGCATGAAATTGACTCATCGCTTGTCCTGGCTAAAGGATTTTTATTGAGAAGAGGTACGTGGGGAGATAAGTATAAACAAGACCTGTATTTAACCAGTATACCTAATATATACATGTGTATCTAATAAAATGCATCTTAAGTTCTCTTCAGACATATATATTATAACTAATATGCTTCCTAATTACAGAGCATGATAGTTGCTGTCATTCATCCTGTTTTCATTGAAGTTGTTTCAAATGACATTAACTTATTAAATAATTAGGCCATTACATGAGCCATTGTTTTAAATCACAAAATCTTTAATCATCTATTTATCTAATTTATTCTAATAATAATTATTGTAATCATAATCCAATTTGGGCATGGGTCGTACTCCTAACCAAGCGTAATGATGGATATTAATCTGCTTAAATGGAGTCATCATTTCTATAAAGTTGTCAGGTATTTAAAATAGAAACTGTTTGACTATATCTAGAGAAAACTTTATTAATAAAAACATAATTCAAATTAAAAAATTGATTCGCTTTCTTTTACCACAAATAATATTTGTATCGGTAACTATTTTCGGTTAACGGTGACCATCATCAGACATTGTAAAAAAGCAGACCAATATTGAAACTGAAAAACTGGTATCTGACAAATATAAATGGAAGGTCCTGGGCCTACCAAGGGGGATGAAATGATGTTTTGAGTGTGCAATCTGCATTGGAAAGATATGCCAGCATGGCAATACGTTTTATTAGTAATTATTTAATTCCATTTATTTTTTATTAACGTTACATGCACAGAACTGTCATGGTCTGTGACAATTGACATTTTGATAGACGATAATTATTGATGACAAAAGGGAGTATTTTAGCGTTACATATTAACAAATTACGTCCACACAAAGTGCTTTCTTCGAATTAAGGTTAAGAAACTCTACTACTTCTTTTGGTGCAAATGAAGTGACATTTTACAAGTTTTGATTGTTAAATATAGACAAACTACTTCCCTAAATGACAGTTTAACTTAAAAAATAGTCCCAGCGAAGACGATGTGGTATTTAAGTATAATACTTTTTTTTAATAATTATAATGATAATAATTTATTCAGAAAAAGGAAAAGAACATTATAAGAAACCAAAAGTTAAATAAAAAAATAAAAAATATTTATTAAAGACTTAAGTGAACATTTTCTCTTCCTAAGTTTATAATGTATGTTTTAATGTTTTTTAATGAATTCTAATGAGTTTATATTGAGAAGGTACATTTTATATGATTCAGGGAGACTATTGAATACTTTACTAATTTGGTGTGAATATATTCAGATACTAACATTTCTTCTTAAAAATTGTGTCTGTACATTAGGACTTCCTCTATATCTTGTTTTGTGATGGTGATTTACAAGTTGTAACTATTTTTTTGTTTTTATAAATAAAAATAATTATTTGTTGCATAAATAACTGTCTAATATCAAGTATTCCTGCTTCCGAAAAAAGACGTTTGGACGGGCATGTAAGTTTTTTCTTAAATATTATTTTTAAGAACCGTTTTTGAAGTACATCTAACTTTTTTATATAACAAAAGGCAGCTCCTCCCCAATTAAGAATTGATTATCTTAACCTAGATTCGATCAGAGCAAAATAGTTTTGGGACGACAAGGATCTATAATATTTTTAAAATACCTAAATTTGTACAGTAATGTCCTTAGAACTTTAACTACATTTTCAATATGAATGTCAAATCTAAGATGACAATCTATATGCAGTGCAAGATACTTAACATTTTTTTTAGCGGTAATGTCAACTTTAGAATTTGATCTTCCTAGTGTTAATATATCATAATTAGGTACTGTACTAACATTGTTAGAAAAAGGCACGAAGTAAGTTTTTTCGAAATTAACGGTGAGTAATTTATGGCTAAATAAATCGAGTATATTTTTTAAATCATTTTCAGTTTTTTTCAAAATTTGTCCAGAGTAAACAATTGCCATATCATCTGCAAAGCTTATCAATCAACCCGCATTTGAATAAGTAACAACACTGTTGAGAGAAATAATAAAGAGAATAGGACCTAATACAGTACCTTGTGGTACACTAAATTTAATAACTTTTGTTTCACTTAAAATGTTGTTAATTTTTACCGTTTGAGTTCTATTTAATAAATAATTTGCAAAAAGTTTATTTGGTTCCCCTCGAATTCCTATATCATCCAGTGCATCCAACAATTGCGTATGAGAAACTGTATCGAAGGCCTTAGCCAGATCCAGAAACACGCACAAGGTAGGTTTGCTAATTTGTAGAGAGTTTGTAACTTCCTGTAGCAATTCCGAAATAGCATATGTTGTTGAGATCCCCTCTTGGAATCCAAACTGGTTGTTGCTTTTAATTTTATTACTTGCAAGAAATTTAGTAATGCGAGTTTTAAGGGATTTTTCAAAGACTTTAGCAAGGCGTGATATTACTGATATTGGTCGGTAATTTGAATCATTTGTTTTTCTCCTTTTTTATAGATTGGTGTTATTACTGCAGTTTTGAGGGATACAAGAAGTTTTGAAAATTGAATTAATAACAGGTGCAATATTTTTTAAGATTTCAGATTTTATACTATCAATCCCTGCTTTGATTGATTATCTTTAGTAACGAATGATTTACTCAAAAAAAAAAAATACATCTGTAAATAATGATATAACATTTCTTTTTCCAACATGAACATTAGTAAAAAATTATAAAATAACTAGTTTATAATTAGCAGTTGGATCGGTTCCAACGTAGCGATGTGAAATCTTCGAAACTTACTGAATAAACATACAGAGTGATTCATTTTTGATGCAAAGTCAAGTTATTTACAATTGCCTCTATGAAAGCACACGAAAATATTATATAGCAAATTTTAAATCAAAGAAATATACGTATAAATAAAAATCGGAAAAAATAGCTTACAGAGGTGGGAGATATGCCAGTAAAATTTATGAAATCCCTTGCCTGTAGCCTGTGTTCAAATCATAAATTTTATAGTAATGAAACATCTTGTAGATAGAATAAACAGAGAGAAGTGTACAAAAAACAATTAAAGAACATAAATGGTTAAATAATAGAAAAATATTTTTTTGACCATATATTGACAACCACAGTTGGTATATAATTTTCTAAAATTTCCTGTAAAAAATGTAAGTAATAATAAACAAATATTGACAAAATAAATGTCATAATAGTACATTAACGCATTTAAAAGTGACCTCTATTGAGATTTCTATTATCAAAACTATCAAAACACTGTGTATACATTTTAAAATGATTCAGTGTAAAATTAGCTGTCCATCAACGATAGCACACATCATAGGAAGTTTAATTTACCAGAAAATTTGCGTGAGATGCTAATCAAGACTTTTAACTAAATATCTTCTTGTTTAATAGTCATTGGACCAGAGGGGATTAAATTGATATTTTTCAAATTAGAATATGTGACTTAAGTGTTGTCAATTTCTAAGAGGTACAAAAAATATATGTAGAGAAATTGTAGATTAATAGCTATTTATAAAACCAGTTGTGAAATGCTTTATTTTATCTAATGAGTCAAATTTTTGCGGGACGAGCAGAGCGAGGTGCTGCAACATGAACTAGTTTCATACCTTAAAATCTAATAATTTTGTCAAAAATAGAAGTCAAGAAACTTTTAAACTCAATTTCAAATATTAATCCGCTCCAGCATTTATTAAATTTTTATGATACAATACTCTTATACTTTGTACATTCAAATTCATCATAGTAAAAATATTCATAATATAATTAAAATTGTTTAAAAAAATAACTACATAACTATTGTCATTTAGAGGTTGACTAAAAGCTTTTGGAAATAATTTGTATAAAGTATAAAAAGGATAAGGCCTAGCACCGATCCTTGCGGATCCCCTTTCTAGCAATTTGCTTTCTACTTGCCTTATTTTCATTGTAAACAATTTGTACCCTCTCTAATAAAAAACTTTCTATTAATTCACAAGCTATAACACGTATACCATAGTATTGGTGTTTCAGAATTAATATGCCATCGTCAATAAGTCGATAAAGATTTTTTTTAGTGTGACAAATTTTAACAGTTTTTCTCTTTGACATTTAAGACTGAAAAGACTATACACCAGTCGATTTGTTTACATGAAACGAAAGTTTGCTAATAAGTGTCAAAAACATTGCCATAATAGGTTTATTTTCAATTAATATAATTAAAGAATGGCACTAATTGTAAAAAAAGTTCGTTTAATTTAAACAAAAAAAAAATAAATAATAAAATTATATTAAATAAATTAAAAAAAAAACGTTAATAAAAGTGAAAACTGAAAATATGATATTTGCAAGAAATATATAATTTAGGATT